AAAGTAAACACAACAATAAGAAAGGTTTTTTTTTTTTTTTGCAAGATCAACGAGCAGGTGTTACAATCAGCATCAATGATCATCTACTGAAAACCATTCATGCATCATATACAAAATCACTATTGTTGGAGAAGAATGGGGGAAAAAAAAAAAAGTAGAAGAAGAAGACAGATTTAAAAATGAGGGGAGGTTGAAGAAATTCCATTAATTCTCCATGTCCAAAATGTAAAAAGAATACGAATGCTTTCAGTAACAAAATAGATATACCAGCAGTGCCGACAATGTAGATTTGCCACGACCACTAGTTCCACACAACAACATAGTTATAGATTCCTTTCTTTCTCGAATTCTGAAACAAGAAAACAAATTCTCAGAGTTCAAAATGGAAAAATGAATGATTGAGGTGTGCATTACATGAAAAGCGGGGGTAATACTTCGAGCTAAAAGCCACAAGTTCCCTTATAGCTTGAAGTAAATAGGAAAGAACCTTCCCCACTCCAGCTTGATGCAGCTTCCCTAGTCATTACAAACCAATAATGTAAGTGCAGAAATCATTACGTTGGATGTATCCTAGATGAATTTTTTATAGATCAATTAATAATGTGATTATTTTATTGGCTGAACAGGTATATATGATATAGGATGATATTTAATGCTTGTAGAATATATCAACACTGGAACAATTTTGGGGAAAAAAAAATCTCTTTAAAACATTAGTTCACATTTGTAACTTGTTGAGCATTGGTGCTTTGAAATGAGGAATTCAAAATATCATGAATGCAGAGTATTATGTTTTTCTCTCTTTTTCTTTGAAGCTTTTTGGGAGATGATGGCATTTATAGGTTTTTATTACTTGGGCATTTCTATATGATTTGTCACGTGAGGTCAATGAAGAAGAAAGGCACCTAATTAAGAAGCAAGGCTTAAACTGCAACCTGACAACATCAAATCAATGCATGAGTGGAAGAATTTCTTGAAGGAAAAGACAAGTGCAAAATTTAAGGTAAGCAATTTATGTTTTTATTGATACTATTGATACTATTTTATGAAGGGAATATTTGATTTGGTGTCCAAATTGAAAGGCTTTGTAGTATTACCTTAGGCCACTCCATAGAGCTTCCAAAACAACCTAATCCTAAAGATATGGACGTGTATAATGTGCAATCTCTACAGGTTTCAGCTTAGGTGGAATCCTGGGAAGCCAAGAAGAAAACAAACTAATAAGGTTGAGGTTTAAGAGCTCACTGTTATAGACGCCATGTTTTGAACAATTAAATTTTCAGCACTTTTATCAGTACCATCTTGCATAACATAACTTAAACTTTCATTCAAGCATAGGCTGGACCTACCTGCGACTAATGCAACAAGTACACAACTTTCATTCAAGCATGGGCATGCCTTTCGTTTATCCCCATCCCCCTAGTACACTTCAAGTACACTTGGGTTGTTTCTCTGCCTTTTACTGAATTTGTTTCTTATAAAGGACGGGGAAAGCAAAAGAACACAAACAAAAATATGTTAGTGGTAAAAGAGTCAATTATCCCTTGTAAATATAATTAGGTCCTAGTCATAGGAAAGCACTAAATTTAAGATGCAAATATTACTCAACATTGCTAGTGAATCTTATTGCTTTTAGTTAGGGAAGCTATTCAACTCTTTGGTAATGTCTTTGGGTATTTAGGATATGGTTTGTTCTGTTTCTTTTATCATGTTTTTGGTTATGTGAACGAAGTATGGTTGGGAGTGACTCTGTCAATTTTGCAGTTATGAATGCATATTTTTCGAATCTTTGGAGTTTTTAATTTTCCTATCATTTGAATAACACCCAGATGCCTGTTTATGTTTTTGTTTTGTAAACTTAAATATATGCACACATATATATTTTAGGGGGAAAGTGCAATATTTCATGATTTTCAAAAAAAAAAAAAGAAGTACTAAATAATATATTTAGAGATGCTTTAAAAATGATCACAAAGCAAGGGACAGAGACATTTCAGAAAATGTTCACTTACAGAGTACATCAGATCAAAATACAAAATGAGGGCATTGATATACAGATTTTATTCTAAACCTAATTCAATCAAAAACCTATAAAACTTACTTTGATTTCACATCAGTAGTTAAATACTCCATATAGTTTATCGACAGTTGCATTTCGAACAACAAAATCATGTGGATATCAAAGACAGATCGAAGAAAACCAAATTAATAATAAAAAAACAGGGGAAGTGAGATACAAAGCAAAAAGGGAACAAACCTATAGGGGCAAAATGAAGCACCGATGGTCTCGCATAGCAGCATCAAACGGCAACAACCTGACGATCAACAAACGTCTATGTCGTGTGCGATTGTGAGGGAGAGAGAACTACGAATTGCGAGAGAAGGCTGTGCAAGAGTGAAAATCGGGGAGACTAATGAGGGGGCTTACCTATCCTGGAAAAACAAAAAGGGAATTTTGAGAGGGAACATTCATCGCCTCAACAATTTCTAGAGGCAAATCACAAAAACAAAAAATAACAAAAACAATTTTTAGATTTTTTTTTTTTTGGAAAAAATTAAAACTAATTTGAGAACAATAAAAATAAAAAATATATTTTTAAAGTTTTAAAAATTATTTATGACCTCCTAAAAGATAAAATTATACAAAAATAATAAGTATTTTTTTATTTTTTCACCAAATTTTCTTAGTTTTAAAAAAAAAAAATTCTGAAACAAGTTTTTAAAAATAAAACAAAACATATTGAAATTGATAATCTAATTCTTCGGAAAAGTTTAGATTAACCCGAATTAGCCATTTCAACTTAAGAGTGTGTTTGTGCTTGATGGGTTCATTTTGTGATCTAATTCGATAATTACTTTAATTTTACAATTCAATAATTAGAATATTAAAACTCTTTGAAAAGTTATAATAAAAACACAAATCACTAAATCACCTAATTTCACCAGTAAAACTTTTACCGACGAATAGTGTTATCATCGCTAAATGTTTAAGTCTTTGCCTATGCCAACTTGTCGTCGGCAAAAGTAAGCACACTAATACCAACACTTATTGTGTTGCTAAAAAATAAGCCTCATAGCTAGAAATTTTGAAATTTTGGCGCCAACCAATAATTTGGGCGCTTAGTGAATGTTATGTTTTTTAGCGACGGTAGTAAATTACGTCGGTAAAGGTCTACCTTTACTAATGAAATTTGCCACTATGTCACCAAAAATATACTTTTGGCTATGAAAATTGATGTAGTCGCTAAAAGTAGTCGCGAAAAATATAATTTCTTGTAGTGCCCATTCCATAACGCATATTTCACTTACAACCATCAAACAAAAAAGAATACCTTTGAATGTAAACTTATATACAAACCAACTATATATATTCCAATTAGAAATAATAACGCCATACATAACAAATAAACATACCAAAAATTATATGTACGATTCATCCAAATTCCATAAAAAAGGCAGAGGACGACAAAAAACTTCCCAACTGTTCAAAAGTTTAAATTATCCTCCGTACAAAAAAATGGAAGATCCACATGTCAATGCCAAAAGCCATCTACAAAAAAAAATAAAAAATAAAAAATAAATAATAAATAATTACACACATTAGTTCCATATAGCATTTCAACATAAGATCACGCAAAAAAAAAAAAAAAAAAAAAGTTAATAGATCTATAAAGGGATTTTTTCGTTTTTCATTTTGAATTTTTGGCTGAGGTGGTTGCATCCCTTAATCATAATATTTTGAAAATGAAATTAACATTATTGAAATGTTAGGAACCAAAACAACGCAAAGTGCACAGGATTAAAAGTCCATTGGCATCCAAAAATTGACAATCAATGTAAGGTTGTGCAGCATATATATTCAACAGTTATGAGGAAAAATGTAGCCCTTTAAAAATGACAATCAATTTAAGGTTGTGTAGCATATTCAGTAGTGATGAGAAAACATGTAGCCCCTAAAAAATTACAATCAATGTAAGGTTGTGCAACATAGTCAGACCTGAACGGCCTTTTTCGACTAAGTTTATGGCGTTTTTGACGCTAACTCCCAACCTACGCGTGCTAATTACATCCCACCTATCCCCACATGTCCTATTTGACACGAGGAAGCTACCCATGGCATGATGGCATCCATAGAGTGGTTCAGGGGCTACTTTGAATTTTCACCCCCAAAAGGCCTTTTTCGGCTAAGTTTATGGCCTTTTTCACGCCAACTCTCAACCTACGTGTGCTAATTATATCCCGTCTATCCCCACAAGTCCTATTTCACATAAGGAAGCTACCCGTGGCATCCATAGAGTGGTTCGGGGGCTGTTGTGAATTTTTGTCCTCAAAAGGCCTTGTTTGTCTAAGTTTATTGCCTTTTTCATGCCAACTCCCCACCTACGTATGCTAATTACATCATGTTTGTCTCCACAGGTCTTGTCTCATCTGTCCCCATAGGTCCTTAGATTTAATCGAGGTGTGCATAAATTGATCCAACCGCAAAATTATCCAAATATATATATATATATATATCAATTTCTAAACAAATCCTAGTTTTGGTGTTAACAAATACACTATGATTGTTCTTAAGTCAACTGTTAAAGTGGTTAAATGTAAATATATCACTTTCTAAACAAATTCACAAATTGGCATCCCTATAAGCACCAATACACTCACTAAATGCTGCATTTCATACCAACCCATTTCAACAAGCAAAGGAAAGGTGGCAAGTGGTTCCCAATCCTTTATGGCTCTGAGAAAATTCACAAATTTAATACACATTTTCAATTTTTTTATAAAAAAGACTGACAAGCATACTTATCTTCAAGAAAGTAAATTATTCACACTTCTCTACAGATGTCATTTTAAGCCTAGGCCTCTAGCTTTAAAGGTCATTTTAAAATAACTGTAGAAGTAATCAGTTATGTTAAGCCTAGGCCTCTAGTTCTATGATTTCAGAGGCCTCTAACATCTAAAATGCCATTAAGCTAGTTGTAGCTCAATACATTGCCACCACATGCCAAAAGCAAATTGGTTTTTTATTATAATGTTCATGATACAAGATATTTAAGCAGAATCAATTATGTTAAGCCTAGGTAGGTTACAATTTACTTTGGATTCTAAAGCATTATATGAAATGTAACACCAAATGAGATTGAACTGAAATTTACAGAGTCTGCAACTGAGCAAGGCTGAAGAGAGCGACTGGAATTTGACCTTGAAGTCTGCTGTTTTCCATCACTCTGCAAGTACAAAGTTAAAGTAATATGTTTACCATAATTGGGAGTACATTGATGAAATAACAAAGGATGGAAATACAATATCAAAAGATGTGAGTTAGGAAATTAAGAAGATGTTATGCAACTTGAAGTAAGAAGTGGAAAGGCTCCTCATGTTCTGCAATATTGATCAGTCAGTTTCATGACATCTACGAGCACACGTAAAGTTAGAATGTTCATCATATGCAAATATGATATTAGAAATAGTGATGATCATATATTGCCAAGTATTGTCTATTATGCTGTATTGTCCTGATATTTTCAATCATTTCAGACTTTGAAGTCCTTCACTAGCTTTATATATCCAGAATCTTGGTAACATGTACTTTGATGATTTTATTCTTAAATTATGGGTGAATGACCAAGTTGGTGAAATAAAGTCCATGACACAATCAATATTTGTTTAAAGTTTGCCAACTCATATAGCAATTTTCATAAAAAATATTGATTAATCATACATATTATTGGCCCTGTTGATCTCATGGATTATGACATTTGATGTGGCTTAGAAATGAGAACTGTTGCACATAAGAATGCAAACTTTTTATTATGGCACTTTTCAACTATAAACAACCTTGACTTTTTTTAAAAGCGGAAAATAACAAAGCACATCAAATATTAAGGAAAATGACATATGTGAGAAGCATTGAATATGTTGAGACTTACATGTTAAAATCTGGAACAACAACAATATTGAAGAGATCCAGGTCATACTCAAGACCAAATCTGCAAAACATTTTCAAAAGTAGGATTGACCTTCCCGACTACTACCTACAGTACACTAGAGTGGATGGCCTTCCCCATTAATTCCACCAACCAAACGAATCAAATTGAAATGTTATGGAACAAGACAAAAATAATTATTAAAGAAGGAAAATTAGAGGGTTTTTAAAACTAAAGTAGGTCAATAAAACTTCAGCAACATCCTCTTGTCAATCAAACACCACCTTTTTTTTTTTCTCAAACCCAATTCAACTCTCTGGCCCCTGGTAGGAAAAGGGAGAAATAGAAAATTGAGATAGATATAGAGGTCAACCAATGAAAAAAATTAATTAATAGTAGTAGTGAATAAAAATTTTAGACATAATGATTGATTGAATAGCAAAGTAGAACAGCGAAGTGAGAGTGACATTTGGTATCACTATGATGCAGCGAACCTCAAATAATTCAGACATTCCAAGCTATGCTAGCAAAAAATATTTAGAAAGGTGTAAGGAAAATGCAGCAATTGAGTTGTAATACAGGAACAAAATAAAAAAATAAAAACTAATGCAACATAGGCCCAGTTCTGGGGTTCGTTGCTGCATCTCCTGCAACCTCCTTTCCATTGACATAATGCGACATAGGCCTAGTTCTCTACAAACACAGTTAAAAAAAAAAATTAAAAAGGAAAAAGAAAAAAAAATTAACCCCATAAATACTTTGTAGCTAGAGAAACTCCAAGATATTTCAAAAGAATTCTTTCTCTTTTTTTTTTTTTAAAAAAAAAAAGGAAAAACAATGTTCACAGCAATATCAATTGTCACAAAGGAAATGTAGAGACCATTTTAAAATAAGTGTAGAAGTAATCAGTTATGTTAAGCCTAGGCCTCTAGTTCTATGATTTCAGAGGCCTCTAACATCTAAAATGCCATTAAGCTAGTTGTAGCTCAATACATTGCCACCACATGCCAAAAGCAAATTGGTTTTTTTATTATAATGTTCATGATACAAGATATTTAAGCAGAATCAATTATGTTAAGCCTAGGGAGGTTACAATTTACTTTGGATTCTAAAGCATTATATGAAATGTAACACCAAATGAGATTGAACTGAAATTTACAGAGTCTGCAACTGAGCAAGGCTGAAGAGAGCGACTGGAATTTGACCTTGAAGTCTGCTGTTTTCCATCACTCTGCAAGTACAAAGTAAAAGTAATATGTTTACCATAATTGGGAGTACATTGATGAAATAACAAAGGATGGAAATACAATATCAAAAGATGTGAGTTAGGAAATTAAGAAGATGTTATGCAACTTGGAGTAAGAAGTGGAAAGGCTCCTCATGTTCTGTAATATTGATTAGTTAGTTTCATGACATCTACGAGCACAGTGTAAAGTTAGAATGTTCATCATATGCAAATATGACAGTTAGAAATAGTGATGATCATATATTGCCTCTCAAGTATTGTCTATTATGCTGTATAGTCCTGATATTTTCAATCATTTCAGACTTTGAAGTCCTTCATTAGCTTTATATTTCCAAAATCTTGGTAACATGTACTTTGATGATTTTATTCTTAAATTATGGGTGAATGACCAAGCTTGTGAAATAAAGTCCATGACACAATTAATATTTGTTTAAAGGTTGCCAACTCATATAGCAATTTTCATAAAAAATAGTGATTAATCATACATATTATGGGCCTTGTTGATCTCATGGATTATGACATTTGATGTGGCTTAGAAATGAGAACTGTTGCACATAAGAATGCAAACTTTTTATTATGGCACTTTTCAACTATAAACAACCTTGACTTTTTTTAAAAGCGGAAAATAACAAAGCACATCAAATATTAAGGAAAATGACATATGTGAGAAGCATTGAATATGTTGAGACTTACATGTTAAAATCTGGAACAACAACAATATTGAAGAGATCCAGGTCATACTCAAGACCAAATCTGCAAAACATTTTCGAAAGTAGGACTGACCTTCCCGACTACTGCTTACAGTACACTAGAGTGGATGGCCTTCCCCATTAATTCCACCAACCAAACGAATCAAATTGAAATGTTATGGAACAACACAAAAATAATTATTAAAGAAAGAAAATTAGAGGGTTTTTAAAACCAAAGTAGGTAAATAAAACTTCAGCAACATCCTCTTGTCAATCAAACACCACCTTTTTTTTTTTTTTCTCAATCCCAATTCAACTCTCTGGCCCCTAGTAGGAAAAAGGAGAAATAGAAAATTGAGATAGATATAGAGGTCAACCAATGAAAAAAAATTAATTAATAGTAGTAGTGAATAAAAATTTTAGACATAAATTGATTGATTGAATAGCAAAGTAGAGTAGCGAAGCGAGAGTAACATTTGGAATCACTACGATGCAACATACCTCAAATAATTCAGACATTCCCAGCTATGCTAACAAAAAATATTTAGAAAGGTGTAAGGAAAATGCAGCAATTGAGTTGTAATATAGGAACAAAATAAAAAAATAAAAACTAAAAACCTAGAGTCCAAAGACTAATATTGCTACTAGCCAAACTTGAAAGAATAGCAAAACCATTACTCTTGCAAGTCTGAAGATTAAAAGCCTCACAAATTGCACAAGAATTACGAATCCCTCAATTTAGTAATTTTGCAAGTGGTCTAATACTCTCATATGAGCTATGTTACATAGACTCAGAGAAAGCGATCAGTCGGATTTTTTTGATAAATGAGTTGCGTTTTGACTATATTAAGGGGAAAAGAGCATATATTTTGTAATTAGCGTATTTTATAAAAAGGTCATGTTTAGGACCAAAGTTCTAAATTTTATGAAGCATGATTAGGTTAGAAACTCGAACATATAACAGTTTATGAGCGCAGTTATGCTACTTTAAAGCTTTTAGAAGTGTTTCCTAAAAGATGTGATTGTGGTAGCTCAGAAGTACTATGAAAGGATGGCATTAGACCCAATTCCAAATGTTTATGAAAGTTTATCACTTGCCCTATACATACTTCTACACCACAAGGCTGCTAAGCTAATACTCCATCCACAGATGATGTAAATCAGACACCATTTCACACTTTATAACCAAATCAATAAATTCTTTATGTAAGAAGAGATACAAAACATCTATTGTATTATATGAAATGGTTAGAAACCCAAAACCAACCACAAACCACAATATTTTGAACTTAGTTTAATACCACAAAATTCCCTGAGAAATAATCATAAAAGGGAAGGAAATAAATTCTTTACTAATACAATCATTGCATCAATTTTCAATTGAAATAATCAGAATTCATGAGAATACATACATAATCAATGAGCAACCATACATGTAAATACATACACAATGAGTCGGATTAGGGCTTTGAGCCTAATGAGAGAGAAAGAAAAAGAGGGGAAAAGGTATCAAACCGCTTAAATTAAACCTATTTACCACATCAAACCCATAAAACCATAGAAATCAAACCACTTAAACCAAACCCATTTCAGAAATCAACACGAAATTAGACTTGGTAAATAATGTAAAACCCTAAAGCATGAGTGAGAAATGGGAAAATAAAGGAAGGGAGAGAGAGACAGAGACAAAGACAGGGAGCGAGCGACTGAGAGCGAGAGAGAGAGAAAAAGAGCAAAAGAGAGAGGGAAGAAAGAGAAAGAACCTGTTTGTATTGCGGCGGTGGCAGTGGTGATTTGCAGAGGTGATGATGTGCGACGGACGTGAGCAACGATGGTAAGGGATTTCGGTGAAGTGAAGAGGTGAGGTTCTCTGTGTGAGAGAGAGACAGAGGAAAGGGACTCCAATCTGGGTGCCTAAAATATGTTCCCACTAAATATTATAAATCTTTTAGCGACTAAAATGTTTTTTAGTTTCCATAAGTTGACTATTTGCGACTAATTGTTCTTTTGTCGAAAAAAATTGAGTATACCGCGACTAAATATTTTTTAGTTGCCAAAACTGCATATTTGCCGACCAAATTCTTAGTCGCGAAAGAGTAACAGTGCAAATGTGGCTATTATTTGGCGACTAAATTTATTTTAGTTGGCGAAAATTAGTATACTATGACTAAAATAAAATTTAGTAGCTGAAAAACTAGAGTAACAGCGACTGATAATTTTTTTAGTCGCCTATTGTGAAAAATTTACCGACTAATGTTTTTTTCAGTCGCCGAGAAATAATAGGCGTCGAGTACAATATTTTAGTAGCAAAAACTTGAACCAACGGCGACCAAAATAATTTTTAGTAGCCAAAAATTGAACTTTTGGCGACTAAAACCCTTTTAGTCACCAAATTTTGGTCGCCAAAAGTGTAAATTGTTGTAGTGATTGTAAGTGCTTGTAAAAATGTCTGATTGAATATAGTTGGTGTAAAATCTAAGTTGTATGATGCACTTAGTATTTGGATTGAAATTTTGATTTGTAAGACGCATTGCAAGTACTTGTAAAAATGTTAGATGGAATGTAATTGTTTCACTTTGGTAAACAAGTTCCTTACCCTCTCTTGTTTGTTTTCTTTATATACAAGTGTTTATTTATTTATTTTTTTAATGTAGTCTTGATTGTTTCAGTGCTAGTGCTGTTGATGATGGTGCTAGCAATGGAGATATAATTAACTATAATAGTAAAAAAAATTGGTGTTCTAGTTTTTCTTTTGGGGACTGGGAGGTGTAGGGAGGTGAAGCACAAAAAATGCAAAGAAGTTAAGAAGAGGAAACAATGTACAAAAATAAATAAGATTTCGATTGTGAGAGAAAGGGGTGCTAAAATTTGACAAATAATAAAACACTCAAATTGTTTGCATTGATCTTTGGCCAAGACAAAGAAATGTTATAATCGGTGGATGAAACTACGATCAGTTTTGAAAGCCACAAAAAGATATACATTATCTCACTTTTTCTGGTATTGATGACAAAATTGTAAAAGGAATTACTAAGAAAAATTGCTAAATTTGCCAAACAATCTCTGTGGTGCATCAATGAGACTCCCATTCATAAATTAGCTATGACTTATATACCACAAACTTTTTAAAAAAATATGTCTTAAAATCATATGTCTAAACTTAGAAGCAAATAATAGATCACAAGATGGAAAGTTGTTCTAACACTCCTTAGTAATTCAAGATTGGGGCATTCATAATCTCTGCAAGATAACTTATTACACACCACAAGATTCAATATAAAGAGAGCAACTAAGCTGATGCATACAAAGTACAATATTTTCCCAACCTCTTCAAATTGTTAACAAGCACAACATTTGGTGACAACACAAATTGGATAATATGAATTTTTTTTATGTCGATAAAGTTTCTAGAAAAAATCAGAAACAATTGTCATTCTCTCCAAACTAAATCAAACCAAACCCTAAGTTCCATTAAATGGGATCGGCTACATGAATCATTCTTCTCCATTCAACTCTATCAAATCGATTCAAAGTATGATTCATTGTCATAATGGATCCTAGCATCGTTTTTACGTGTTAGTTGTCGGCTACCTAACACAGAACTCTCCTCTTTTACCAGGGCTTGAGATCGGCAGAGTTGTTAAACAACCCCGGCAAAGTTGAGTGTCATTCTCTTCAAATAAAAAAAAATAAAAATAAAAAATAAAATTGCTAAACTTTGACTCCCATCAAATATAAAATGAACTTTAATCCCCATGCACTATCAAGCACTACCATTCATTAGCTTCCATCTCTGAAGCTTACATCATCAAGTTATCCACCCATATCATTGTTACATTAACCCGACTGCAAGCAGATAAGAAGTTAAAGAAGTCAATTGGAATTTGTATCAAACAACACCATTCAAGCCCAAAAAAATGAATAACCAATTGAAAGCAAAATGATCAAATCAACCACCACTTGTATATGAAGAAGACAAACAAGAGAGGGTAAGGAACTTGTTAACCAAAGTGAAACAATTATATTCAATCAAACATTTTTACAAGCATTTACAGTGCATTTTACAAACTTAGATTTCAAACCAAATACTAAGTACAACATACAACCCAGGTTTCATACTAACTATATTTAATGAGACATTTTTACGAACACTTAAAATACATCTTACAACCCAGATTTCAAAACAAATACTTATTTGTTACCAAAATGAAGTCAAAAAAGAAAAAAAAAATTTCCCCCAAAAAATCACAAAATGCATAATCATCATTGCACTCCGCTTCGTCCTCCAATCCACCATCATCGTCACCATTGATCTCACAATCTTATGTCCCAAAACTCCCAAATTCCAGCTAACTCCTCCACAATCAACAATCCCACCACTTCAATCTCATTTGATATTTGATTTTCCGCTATGTACACCGTGAAGAAGTTGAATCTAGACACCTTTAAGTTTTATGACACCTATATTACTTTCTCGTATAGGGGGAAAGTGAATCATGCAAAACCTAAGTGATTCGTGATTAGATCAAGAATTAATTGTACCAATTCCCAAACAACTAAAAGTAACAATCTAAATTATCAAGCACGTATGAATGTGATTTAGATTATTGTTTCCGAAACAATAAATCAACACAAATGATTTTTTGGTGAAAAAAACCACAATTGGAGCACCTTCAATTGTGATAAAAAAACCACGGGCGAAATGCCACAAATCAATCCATTGCTGAAGAAAGAAAGATTACAAAGATACCAAACAAATTACCCAAACGCTTTCAATTTGTCTTCAAATCTTTTGTATATCTTTCACCGCAACCTTCATCTCAGAATTGATTAGATTGATGTTGAATCCACAGCATCTGTTGTCAAATCAACAACTGCACACAACATCAAACTCGTTTGATTACTCTGTGCTTGAATCTTCGGATTCCACCAAAGAAGAATACTCTCAAAGAAGATCAAACAAACTCCTTGATGTGTGCTTATAAAAACATGAGTTCAAACTCAATCAAACATCAAGGAAAGCCAAAAAAATATCCCCAAAAGAAAACCCTAAAACCCTTAAAGAAGATCTAGAAAACATAACCCTAGATTTGGAACAACTTGAGGTTTTATAGAGGCTAAGATCGCGAGGTCCGCTCGAGCGTGGGAATGGACGCTTGAGTGGGGACTCTATCTCGCGTGTTCCTAACCAGGGTTCACGCTCAAGCATAATATCTCACGCTCAAGCGTAAAAACACAGCACTCAGTATATTTTGCAGACAAACCAAAACACTGTGAGAGTGGAATCTTCACTCGAGCGCCACTTTCTCCACTAGAGCGGGAAGACCAAAAAACATAAGAAAATTACAACTTAATGATACTCAAGTTTGTCCACGAAATTTGACAGCAAGTATGGTCTTAACAATCTCTCCCTTTGTCAAATCCCGGACAAAACTGTTCTAACAATTTTCCTAACAAACAAACCCAAAACACACTAACTAACACAATCAACAACCTTGACTTTAACAGAAAAAAAAAAAAAACCACTACAAAAACCACAAGAGCTGAATGCGAACATGAAGCACTAATCCTTGAACAATCCACTTGGAGAAACAACCGTACAAAACAAAACTGTGGAACTGGATAAATAGCCCAATATATATCTAAACAAAAATATCTCAATATCCATGAAACACTAATATCTCAATATCCATGCCCAAAAATATCAATAACCATGCATCAAGTATATCTTGATTCAACAAAAGTATATCCAACATCCAATATCCATGCATGCATCAAGTATATCCAATTGTTGAATCAAGTATATCCAAAATCCACTCCTTCTTTTTGTCCGGGAGGAAAACACAAGTGAAAAAAACAAAACAAAAAATCAAGAGATAAAACTGTGCAACAAAAATCAAGTGATAACACTGTGCCAAAAGCATACTAGCCAATAAAATAGATATCACTGAGCTGGTGGCTGTAGACGACAAAATTTGGGACAGATGAGAAGAGGACTGAGCAACTGACTCCTCAATACACTTGGATAAGGCCTCTAATGCTGTGAGCCGAGCATCAACGATAGCCTGGCCTCAAAGATATCTATCCGGCCCTCCAGACAATCAAAATATGAGACCATGGACTGCTCAAACTGACGTAGCTTGCCTCGAATAGTATGAACTGGAGGAGGCTACTCCCTCTCAACGGTAGCCTCACCTGCAGCAGCCGCATCATACCTTGCCTCCTCGGCCACAGCAACATCCCCTGCACCTGTACCAGAACTACCCACTCCTGAAGGAATCCCCTTAACATGAGACTAACTCTAAGAGACAGTCTTTTTGGTAAAAGGTCGGGAAGAAAAGGCAAACTCATCCTCACCAAAAGAGATAACCTCAAACTTGGCGAGAAGCCAATTAATGAGGCAACCGTAAGGAAAACCAAGGTTATTATGCTCAAATACAGCAACCAATTTTTGAATGATCATGGTTGCAAGGTCGATAGATTGGTGATTAGCAATGCAATAAAGGACAAAACCTTGTTCTTGATTTATCTCGGAGCTATGGGTGGTCATAACGATGTTGGCACAAACAATAAGATTGAGTAAACGAAACTGGGAAAGAAGCTCATTTTGTTTGATCAAAGAGCCCGGGAGCCATGAACGAGATGTACCACATAAAGCAGTGGCCACCTCATTGAAATCACAGGTGGGTTGAACAGGGAAAGGATAGTAAATAGGAAAGACTTTACTAATACCTAATAGCTCACGAATAAGGTTAGGGGTAACTGTGATAGACTTAGACCTAACCCAAGTCTTGAACGAAGAACCAATATCGTCAATCCCCTCCATATTATAGTAAAATTCCGGCACCCAATCAACATTTTGACAGCCCGAGAAGGAAAGAACCAAATCCCCACCGA